CAGCACACGTGACTTAAGCCGAGGGGTGGGGTAAGGACAGGGTTACTGAACTGCAAACTTCCAAGTGTGTTTCCCTCAGCACTGTGAATCATCAGTGACAGCCAGGGCACACCTAAATCAAGTGCCAGCCTGGGGACCAGCTCATCTCAGCAGCGCTGTACCCTGCAGTGTCTTGTCAGTATCCTGAGAAGGGTGGCTGCAGTCAGGGCACACGCCCAGCAAACTGTTCTCGAGCACCAGGAGAACTGTCAAGCATCAGACATGACAAACTACCTTGTCCCCGATTCCCACAAGTGCGCCCCTCAGCGCCTTGTGCCTCAGGAGTCATCAAACTCTTTCCCAAGAGGCCCTGGGTGCATCTCAGCAGAGTCCGACTATCCAGAACTGAGTCTACACAAGTTCTCTCTAAAGCAGAGCACACCACCTTCCCTCCACAGCTCTTACCCTCTGAAGACTGGGAAAATCAACTGTATCAGCTATGGCCTCGTCTCAGCGAGACAGAGAGGCATGACTGAAACGTGCTGGGTGTCACTGAACATCTGGAAAGGAGCTGCTAATGTCCCCAGTCCATCCTTGACTGTGACTTTCTCAACTCTCTTGTAGTCCCTTGGCACCTTCAGGAAGTTACTGAAGGAGGATCAGAGTCACTGGAGAAATGAGGCTCTCCTCCACCCGGCTCCTCCCGATAGCACAGAAATGGCTCCAGGCAGTTCTTTCCTCTTAGCTCCAGAGCCTGCTTGACTACAGGCTGGCCACCCAGACCACCCGGACAGCTTAGCCACAACCAGCCGTCTGGCTAGACCCAACAGGCCCACAGCTATTTGTATTCCTCAGAAAAACACAATGCTCAGCCCTACAGGTACAGGCAGAGGAGCATGGCTTGGCTCTGCAAACAAACACAAAACAGACAGAGGCAGAGACAGCAAGGCTGCTACACAAAATGAGCATCTCCACCCAATAAGACAGAGATTTAGGAAGGGCTGCCAGACAGGCAAGGGTGGTCACAGCTTATGGCAGGTCAGAGCCCAAAGGCACAACAGGGCCTTTCACTGAAGTGCACTCTCCCAAGAGGCGCTCCAGAGCAGCACGGGAAACCACACCCCATGGAACCTGACAGAAATGCCAGTTCTCAGCCCCAGCCTTGCTGGTTGCTGGTGAGGCCTGGCACAGCTTTCAGTAGCTCTACTCCGATACTATACAACAAGCAGCAAGACAGTGCTGGGGCCGACGGTAGGGTCACATGAAGGCCAGGGAGCACCAATGGATCAGGGGCCTGAATGAACAGTGAGGAGCACAGCAGCAGCAACAGAGGTCGGGCCCAGTGTGCAAGTGTTAGAGAAGCTAGCCCTTACATTTCCTACCTAAAACCATGGAAGCAAAATATATGGAACATATTTCTGTGGAAAGAAGGACTTCTCTGAATGAAAACCTTAGAACATTTTCCTCCAACCTCCCAATCCACCCCGCAATAGAGAAAGTGCCTGCAAATGAGGTTTTCCTTAACAAAGCTGACAGGCGTCACATAGCACCAGAGGGCCATGGCCCTGTGAGCCTGCCCCCAGCCAACATTTACCAAGCTGTCACTTGGACCCTTGTGGAAGCTGTTTGGGGCTTTCATCCAGCAGATCTTCATCCTAGTAATCTGCTACCTGCTGTAGGAAGCCACTGGAGGATGGAACCCAAGCCCACAGAGAAAACCCAAGTCCAGGAGTCATGTACCCAATCCAGGTAAGAGGCACAGGACCCCACAGAGCACCCTGAATGGTAGAGTCTGCAGGGACCCCTGGCCCAGGGCAACGATCAGACCACAGACTGCCAGGCAATTGTGAGTGCTGTGGAAACCACCTTACCCAGAAGGCAACTGAGTCCTCCTGGTGCAAGTGAGATCCTTTCCTGTAGCCACAGTCTGATCTTATACGTTAGGACGGCGAGACACTTCTCAAGTTTAGAGGCACAGAAGCAGTATTTAAAGTAACTACAAGAGGAGGGGAGGAGGGGAGGAAGGGCAAGAGGTAGTGACCTTTGTTATGCTTTAGGCTCAAAATAATGAACTTCAAGAAATAAAGCATCAACACAAAGGCCAGAGCCTTGGAATTTGAGACTGACATTTCCTCTAGGATCCCCGTGAGTGAATGGGGTCTTCAGAATCCTCACTTGTACTCTGATCCCAATAGCTATCAATCACCCCAGGAAGCTACAATGCAAGCGGGAGGGGACGGGTGAAGGAAGGAAAGGAAATGGGTCCTTCCCAGGGTGACAATGGCACTTCCAGGACATGAAGGGCCACGAGAGGGTTCACGTGGGGTTCCTAAGGAGGCAGAAGCCACAGTTCCCTGTGTCCTGCCATACCAGCACCTCAACTCAGAGAGCTCCCTCTTGGAGGGGAAAATGGTCATCTCCAACAGCCCTTTACTTTGCACCTTCCACAGCCCTGTCATCAGCAGGGCCAAGCTCAGCCAGCATCTGAATGACCCAATCAGCACCGTTCCAAAGTACTGCATCACAGAACCAGGGACTGGGGCATCAGTCATACTTGTCCAGACTCCCCACCCCGGCCCCCATGTGACTGGCAGCCTTCCAGTTTGGTTAAGACGGACTCAAGCGATTTAGACCCCCGCTGATGATGCTCTACAGGGAAGCACGTGGAGTAGCAGCCGCTGGTGTTATTTGTCACCCACTGCAGGTGAACCGACAGGCATGCAGATGTCGGGGTCAGTAAAAATTAGGAGGCATATTTATAAATCACGCCCAAAGTAGAACTCCTAAGAAAATGGCATCAAGCATCATGCAGCTTCTGTAAACTCTTCCTACTCATGCATTAAAAGTCGAGCCTAGCCGGGCAGTGGTGGCGCATGCCTTTAATCCCAGCACTTGGGAGGCAGAGGCAGGCGGATCTCTGAGTTCGAGAGTTCGAGGCTAGCCTGGTCTACAGAGTGAGTTCCAGGACAGCCAGGGCTACACAGAGAAACCCTGTCTTGAAAAACAAAAAAAAAAAAAAAAAAAAAAAAAAAAAGTCGAGCCTAGATCACAGGACAGATTACTCTCTGTGAGCAAGTTTGCTCTCTCAAGGGCTTTCCAGGAACTCTTCACTCCTTTACTCTTGCTGGTGCCTCTCGCAGGCAAAGCCAAGACGACCCACTCAGGATGTGTCCTTTCACCCAGGAGACAGTACGACGGGATTGCTAGTTGTGGTGGGAAACTCTAGTATGCAGACCAAACAAGCCTACGCCACAGCACACAATTTCAGTGTCACACAAACAGAGCTATGCGGAGAAGTCTGGGCTCGGGACGGCTGTGCTCAGAGGACAGGAAGGGCTGCTGTCTACCTGGGACTTGAGGCCAGTGGGGGAGGGATGTGGGGATATGGACAAGGACACAGCTGCTCTCAGGGTGGAGAGAGAGACTGTCACAGGCCTGGAAAGTACTGATCACTATAAAGTAGAACTAACTTCCCCTGGGTGGGACCTTTGTCAACCAAAAGTGCATGCAGACAGCACTCAGTGAATCAGGGAAACAACCATGATGCTGAAAACAGAACCACGTGAAACGGAACTGGTTAGAACTAGAAACAAGCCTTAAAACCCCTCTCAAGGCAGAGGCCACTCTGACTCTGGCAGGCCAAGGACCTGCTACCCTTCATCTCAAAAGTAAGCTGTATTTCGCTGTGTGGGGTGCTTTGACCAAGGCAAAGATAAAATCTGGTCCCCATTCTTGAGCAATCCCGGTAGAAACATCAACATAAACCTACAGAGAAGCCACCAGAGCTGGGGAGAAAACGCACAGGAGCCTTCTGAGGAGAGTAAGCGGGAAGCAGAACTCTCAGCTCAGGTGCCATCTACAGAGCGAGTGGGAAGTCACATTCTGGGACGAGAACTGAGGGCAGACAGGCCAGTACTGTACAAAAGCACCAGGTATGCCCAGACCAAGGAGCAGATGTGCCCAAACCCTGACACCGCATGTCACCTCCCAACTTGTGCTGTCATCTGCACCACTCTGTTGCCTTTGCCTGGCATCTTTCTTTAAATCAGATCTATTTATGGCGGTTCTGGAGCCAGGATCTCGATGCTGCCCAGGCAGCCTTGAGAAATTTTCCCATCTCAGCATCTTGAGGTGCTGGGAATCCAGGCAGTTCAACATGCTTGCAAAACAAACACCCTCTGCGCCGTCTCTCTAACCCTTGAATCATTTTTTTTAAAGATTTACTTATTTATTTTATGTATATGAGTACACTGTAGCTGTCTTAAGACACACCAAAAGAGGGCATCGGATCCCATTACAGATGGTTGTGAGCCACCATGGTGTTGCTGGGAATTGAACTCAGGACCTCTGAAAGAGCAGTCAGTGCTCTTAACAGCTGAGCCATCTCTCTGGGCCCCCTTAACTCATTTTTAAGGTTTACTTTACTTTCATCCAAAACGACGCTGTCCACTTGAGGACCTGATGTGCTCCTCATATCTGTCTCACATCACAGAGAAAGCATCACACGTTATTAAAGTGAAAGTGTCTCCAGGGGTCAATGGCCAAGCCCTCGGTTTTACAGCAGGGTCCTGGCCAGGATGGTTAAGGCCTATGCTACTAGAGGCCAGATCTTCAATAACTCAAAACAGTAAAGACGATTATCTGGAAAAAACATTTTAAAATAGGAGCTGACAGTGGGCTACAGGGCATTCTCCTGGGCTCTGTAAGGCCCTACCCCTGACACCTGACAGTGAGATCCCAGGGTTCAATGTGACCTTTGGTTAGAACGTCCTCATTCATCCAACTTTCATTTCCAGTTTAAAAACAGACACCAATGGTATTTCAGTAATTTCTTATGCAACCTCTTAAAAGTTTAAATTTATACTTCACCAGACATGAAAGTCTAAACTAGGTCAGTAAGCAGCATGGCCTCCTGGGGGACGCTCAGGGCAGGCAAGGGAAGATGGCAGGGAAACAGCCTCTTGGGGGCTGCTCAGGGCAGGCAAATGATGAAGCAGTGGCCAGAGCAACTTTATCCCTACCTCCGTGCACGAAGCCATGAAGGGTGCAATCCGAGGGCCCCACCAGGTGGATCAGGCTGGACTGGCTGTAGCTCACCGTGTTTGGCTCTAGAAAAACAAGGGAGAAAGAGAGAGCGCAGTTGTTACACAGCCCAACAGTAGCAAGGACACCACTGCCCAGAATTCTGTGTCATCAGAAGTGTTTACCTGCAGTGTCACTTAGACAAGTTTCTCTGAAGAGAACAGAAGTCTCAGAAGTACTGAGCAGCCCCTATCAGAGTCCCAGTGCATTCTGGGTAGTGTGCCAACTAGAACCTGTCCGTGGCAGTCATTACATCCCTTGGCTGGAAGGTTCCAGGGTTATCTCTGGTCCTCCGCTGATGTCATCATCCAGCTACTTTGCTTTCCAACAACACAAAAGCAATGGCAGTGTTTCTGTACCGAACTGGCCCAGGAAGTCTCAGGTTTGACAGGTGTCTGGGCTGATCTCCCTCTGACCACCCCTCCCCTCTGCATGTCTCTGTCAGTGCAAACCTTCCAAGAAGAGGAGACTCCTGAGCAGAGCGCCAGTCACTCAGGCTGCTGTAGACTGTAGTTTCACTTAAAGCACAGGACACACATTCTGTCCCTGGAGGCAGACAGCATCCCTCCAGGCTCCCTCTCCTCAGCAAGTGTAGGCAGAGCCTCAGGTGAGATCCACTCCAGCGTGCACACCCTGCCAAACGCTTTGGTTTTGGATAAGCCCCTCGTCCACTGCATGCTGGCTCAGTGAGGGAGTGAGGGTCATTTACTCCTGCCCTGGATCTTGAAGGAACGGCTGGGCCAGGGCCAAGTAACAGGGATGTCTGGCCTTAAACAGTATTCCTCAGCAGCAAAGAGGTGGTGGCATGAGGGGTGGCCTTGACCCAGAGGCCTTGGGTCTCCTGAGTGTCAGCTGTCACCTGAGACTTGGATGGTCCTTCCTGTTTCCAGGTGAATGTGCTCATCCACAATTCCTACTTTCTTATAACACAATACTATACAGCGATAGAGCTTTAAAGATGTGGCCAAGTTAGAACAAAGCTAATCAGGTGTAACCCGATCAAAACCACCAGCATCCTTCTAAGAGGGTATGAAAGAAACTACATCTGACGAGACAGGGAGGCCAACATCCACAAGCTATCAAACCACTGCTAACAGTGACTGTGACTTAAGCTCCAGATGAGAGACATTGGTCTCTGCTGGTTACCCACTAGGCTGGGTCCTGTACAGCTTGAGCAAGCAAACATATGCCACATGGACTTGAAACTAAAGCCAGGTGCCTGAAGCCACCAGGCATCCAGAGAGCCAGAAAACTAGGGGATGAGGGAGGGCTTAAACACTCAACTCAGAAGCATCTGGCTTGAGACAGCTCAGAACTCTCACATAAGGAGCCTAGGTTGCTGGGACCACAGCAGACGAGAGCCATGAGACCATCACCAGAGCCACCGTGAGAGGCACTCTTAACTTTTAGTATGATGTCTGGTCTTAAGATGCTCCACAGAACTTCATTACGGCCACTGTGTGAGACTGTCTGGTGACAAGTGAGGGTCCTTAACGCATGCATTTGCCACTAACAAAGGCAAGGGGCCCTGGTATGGCCCCCAATGGCCAGTAGACTATAGTTAGCTGAGGCGACCTGTGACTGTGACCAGATGGAAGAGAGTCTCACCTATTTCCTGTCTCTTCAGTGTCACCCCCCAGAAACTAGGATCACCAAGATGGCTCTGGGCTCAGGCCATCTTCTTTATCCTTTGAAAGGTACATGGGACACAAAACTAAACTCTATGATGACCAGGACCCTGGCTGTTCAGGGCTCCTCCGGCCTCGCAGCTCTGCCTGGCTTCTGGTTTCCCCTGCAAGTGAGGGATAAGCAGTGGAGCCCACATACTGGAATCCTCTGCCGAGATGAGCAGTCACACTCACCATCTGTGTGGGAGGCTGGGTGGACAGCGAAGCCCCAAAGTTCCTTCATAGTCCAAGGGTCACAACAACCCTGAACGCTGGGCTTCCCTCTGGCTGTCACTGAGATGGACGCAGGCCAAGACAAGGAGGCCAGGACACTAAACAGTCCACTCGGCCGCCTTATAATGACACGGATACAAGCTCTCTGGAGCGTGACTGGACACTCAGGACTTCTAATCTGGCCAGTCTCAGGCCTGCTTTGTCAGCTAAGAGACCTGCATGTGGTGACCATCAGAAGAATAGTTTGTAAACATCAAACCTAGTGCTGGGGGACAGCTTGGTGGCAGCATGCTTACTCAGCATGCTCAAGGCTCGGGTTTGATTCCTTAACACACAGAAAAACAATTGAAAAATCATGCAAAAACCCTTCCTACACAATCAGCTCAACAGGACAGCTCAATGTAAAGGCCCTTGCATTCAACTTCAATGACCTGAGTTCAATCCCTGGATCCATGTAGAGAGGCTATCTTGTGTCTGTATGGATGTAGCATCTGTCAATAATAAATCTGATGGCCTATGGCTTAGGCAGGAAATAGGAGGTGGAACATCCTGGGAGCAGAAAGGATTCTGAGATAGTGCCAGGCAAGGGATGTTTGCCTGGGGGAGGGCAGATGCATAGTATCTGAGCACAGGTAACCAGTCACACGGCAGAATGGAGAATAGAATACATAGATTAAGTCATAGCTAGCCAGAGAAGAGCCTAGCTGTATGGCCAAGGTATCTGTCAATACATTTTGATTCTAAGTCTTATTTCTGGAAGCATGGGGCTGGGAGGAAAAACTGAACCAAACTTATAAAGATCTGCATGGTCAAAGAAGAGACCCGACTCCCACAAGTTGTAGTCAACTTCTACAGGCAAGCAATGGCATGGCTGTGCCTACTCACATGCCCATGAGTGCATGCATACACACACACAGACACAGACACATGTGTGTGCATGCATACACACACACAGACAGACACAGACACAGTGTGCACGTGCATGCACACACACAGACAGACACAGACACATGTGTGCGCGTGCATGCACACACACACTAAATTCTTTTACAGAAATGTTTTCATGCTGACTGCTTTACTATATTTTATGTCTATGTCTCACTCTGTACCCCGGCCAGGCTGGAATTCACTACATCCAGCTTGATTTTATTTCTTCTGATAGAAGGGCCTTATGTGTCCTGGAGAAGTCTCCATCTCAGCCTGCATCTGTGACCCACCCTGGGCTTTTGCTTCAATTACAGGCAGGAGCCAGCATGCCCAACCTGTGTGGTGCTGAGGATCAAACCCAGAACCTCACACACACTAGACAAGTTCACTAGCACCCAAGCCACTGCTTTGCTCCCCCCCCACCTCTCTCACATGGAAATCTACTTGCTTGCACAGCACGGAGAGGACCTGCAGCTCCCAGGTCACAGAGATGTCCCACTGTCATGCTGAACTGTCTAAGAACACTGGTTACACCACACTACTGGCTCCTGTGTTCTCAGAGTCTTAGCACAGGCTTTCAGAGAGCAGAAGCGACAGAGTATCTGGCTTCCTCCTTCACATGCCGTAACTAACTCCCTGGGCTCTGTGGGTCTGGTGATGTCTACTTTTCTTCTACCTGATTCACAGCTCCAGAGGGGGGCACTTCCTTCTTTGGGCAGTTGAGTCTAACACAGCCACTACTAAGTCCCCCACATTCTACATTCTAAGTGACATAGGGAACATGTGACAGAGGTCTGCTACAAACACCAGTACCAGAAGTGAGGTGCTGCCCAGGTGAAAACCTTTCTTTGTAGATGCCAAAGCGATGCTACCATCACACCAGTATGAGAGGCAGGGCGCACAACATGTCTAAACGGCATTTCCCTGAGTCATGGTCCCAAGGAAAAAGGCTGAATAGAGGCAGGCCAGAGTGAGACCTGTACTCTCACCGCCCCTGGGCAGGCAGACCAGGCAAAAGACAAGCTCCAGAAAACAGCAGCCAGTCTGTTAGCAGAACCTGGAGCAAGCAGAGTTCAGACACCTGGGGAATCAAAAATCAGATACAGCTTCCTGCTTCCAGACCTGGAGCTGAGGGGAAACTTGAGAGCAAAAGCCTGTCAGAGCTCAGCTCTGAATCAAGAACCCTGTGATGTCATGTTCTCTCCCATGAGTGTTCAGGGAGGAGCAGTGGAGCGGGAGGAGGAAGAAGAAAATGCACAGGCCTGAGAAGAACTTCAGGTGTGGTCACTGTCCTGGGAACTGATGGGATCCACAAGGGGCTGAAGAAGCTTCCGACTGGTCAAGTCTCACACTCAGACAAACAAGTGAGCCCCCTTTTCCTGTGTCTGCTGCAAATGATGTCAACATCAACAATGGTCAAGGAAGAAGCTTCCAGACTGCAGCAGGAACTTTTGCAAGAGAAGAAACAGAGTCCCTCCTCATGGCCTTGGCCTGACACACTGAAGGGCTCACCACTGTGTGGCTCAGTGGAGCTCAGGTGCCTAGCACATAGCTCTGTTCCGCCATCAGCCACAGTCATGTGTTTGGTCAAGCACAGAACCCATATTCCCAGTGCACCCCACACAGGACCGTGAGGTACTGCACGCAAACACCAGAGAGGTCCACAGCACCAAGGCTGGACAGGACCATGAGAATGCCCTTGAGAGAGGCATTCTCCATGTGCAGAGACGCTGACATGAAGATGCTGTGCACAGAAGACAGAATGAGCAGATCGAGCAGCTGTCAGGTCTGTCCTCTCCCTGTCCTATGGACATAGCTGACCATGCTTGCCTGACTCCACACTCCTCAGAAGAGGACACTGATTCAAGGACTGCCTGAGCTATCTAGTAAGAGCCTGTCCGCAAAGAGCTGGGAGGAATGGAGCATGCACTGTACTGCACATATAGAGAGGGGACAGGTTAACAACCACCTAACAACATTTACATACATGAGGTAGTAGAATGAAGAGAATTCACACACGCAGGAGGCTCTGCATGTGTAGGCTCCATCGGTTAGTGTGTTAGGTTGTATGCAAGCCCCACTCTCCTCAGACATGAGACTTGTGCACCTTCGGATTCTGGAACCCACCCTCCATGGATGCCAAGGAAGACATCACACACGCGCACACATGCACACGCACATGATTGATTGTTTTGTATGTGTAAATATATACAAAGCTATAGGAACAGAGGAACTTGAGTACCCCGTCTCCACCCTTAGGCAAATGTGATTTATAGTCTGCCTCAGCAGGAACTGCACCTCTACTTATACACTAACATGCTGGGTTTCCCTGCTGCAGTAGTTACTAGGACCTTGCGCTTTAAACTGGAAGTTTCCATTTACTGTGGGGACCCCTAGCAAAGCTCCCGGGGAAGCAACAGGCAAGGTATTGTAGGCTCTAGACACACTGCCCTCTCAGCACCTGTCCACCTGCCAGGAGCCACTGCCCTGCCCCAAGAACATCAAGCCACTCCTTCACCCGGGAAGCCTGTGGCTCAGTGACTGCCTTGTCTGTTCCCCTCAAGACAACTGAGAATTAGCCATCCAGAAGACTAGGACTGAAACCCAAGAAAACCCAGAACCTTCCCTCTGTCTTTCCATACCATGTTCCCCCAAGTCTAGTGTTGAAGGAACCAGGATCATGGTCAAGCTGGATGGTCACGGACATCAGAGAGGTCCAATAGCCAGGTTGGCCAGTTCTTGCCCTCCAGGGGTGGCTCTAGGGCAGATTTGCCTGGGTACTGTTGACTCTGGAAGGCAGATCTCAGTGTAGGACCAGGAGCTTGGTGGTCTGCCAAGGCCCCCCTGCTGCTCTGCCTGGGATAGCCAGGGAAGTGAACAGTAGTTCAAGGACCAGTGAAGACAAGCACTTGGTCATGTCTGAGGTAATGTTGATTGCATCATAAACCCAGGAGACCTGGGAACAGGGTCTTGTGGGCAGAGTCCTCATGGCGCTGAAGCTGAGCAGCTCATGGTCATGAACCTGGCAGCCTGAAAGTAACTGTTTCCTCTCCTCAGAAAATACACAGAAAGCTGGCTTCTGAAGAATTATCAGACTCCCTGAAGACTGATAATTCTACCAGAAAGACAGGAGGCCCAGAGGTTGCTAGGCAACATTGTCTGAGCCCAGGTTCTACTTGCAGGAGTGGGTGGGGGTGAGGTCAAAAGGTGAACGCAGTGGGGGAGGCGAAGGGAGGCCCAGCTACACTGCAGGGCTCTGTCCTCCAAGCTCACCATGGCCTCTGCAATCCTGAAGTAAAAGCAGTGCTGATCGATCACACACATCAAACCCCTGATCACAACATTCCCTAGTCACAGGACTTCTCCAGAGGGGATGTGCACACCCCTGCCTGCCAGGGTATATAAGTGGTTTAACAGTTGCTGGGGAGGGGTGGTGCAGCTCTTCATGCTCCTGTAGGTGAGATGATTCTCTCCTTCTGTCACTGCTGCTGTCTGGGGTGAGATGCTTGCTCACATCTCCCCAGGAAAGGTCACACAACAGCTACATTTTGGAAAGACACAAACCTTGTCCACAATATCTGCTCCCTGTAGACATAGCACCCTACCAGCCCAGTCACCCAGGAAAGCCCAGCACACAGGCAGGAGGATGGGCACAGGGACCCACAAGAACAAGGATGGGTCAGCCGAAAAACTGAAGTCAGAACCACAGTGTCTAGGAAGACGGCTTGACGGCAGAACACTTGCCTAGCATGCACAAGGCTCTGGGCTCAAGCCTCACAGGCGAAGGAGCACTGAAGGAAGAGTACTGACTGGGAACGGTGACTCCGCTCCGCACGTCTCCGAGCTGTGTGTCAAGTCCAATCAGCCGAGGAAGATGGGGTTTTTTCAAGATACAGACAAACGAAACTAACATGTAAAACTCCATCAGAAAGCTGTGAGTTCACCATGCCGACTTCAATCACTGTCACCAAAAAGCAACGGACCATGAGAACAACTAAGTATCACATTAGTCAGGAGAGGCCAGGCACAGCCAGCAACCTCAGGAGGAAGTAAGTTAGACTGGCTGACAGCACAGAGTATGTAAGAGCATGTCTAGCCGTGTGGTTCTCAGGACCAGAGAAGGGAACTGAGGTCTTTGCTTTTTTTGATGTGGCGTCTTTCTAGAAGTCCAGGCTAGACTAAAGTCGCTGAGCTCTGCCTCGCTGTACAATCATATACCACCATGCACAACTCAGACTTTTTCTTTCTCTCCCATCCCTCTCATTCTTTTCTGTTAAAAGCAGATGGGGGGGGGGTGATAGCCCAACAAACAATCAAGCTTTGATAACCTGCATAGTCCACTAGCCTCAGATGACAAAAGCTTCAATTCTGGTAAACTGAGGAAGGGAAACAAACACTGGGCACTTGGGCAGACACTGGGTGGGACACCCTGTGCACAGCAGCAGCACAGAGTGTGCCAGGCCACATGGACTGAGAGAGGCAAGTAAGAGACAGGCTTCCACTCACCCGGGGCCCAGGCCCTGGGGGCCAGGAAGCCCTCTGCTGAGGGACATCATATCATGGAGCCTAGTACAGAGCTCCTGAGCCCACGCCATTTCCAGCAGGTGGAAACACTCACAGTACATTCTAGAAAGAATTCATAATACTGTTAAATTGTGGTGACTATACGTGTAAGGGTGCTGGAGCCCCTCTAAAAATGGGCCTACCTCCAATCCCTCACCAAGTTCCTGGGGTCAGACCTGCCAAGACCCTGCCCTAACTGGCATCAACGAACCTGAGGAGGCTCTATGTGGTCTTTTGCAGACGTGGCATAATAACATGAACCAGCCTGGCAGGGGACAGAGGAAGGGGAGGAACAATCCCACAAGGCTTGCTGAGGCCTGTCGCTTGTGTGGTGAGGATGACAGAGCTACTCAGAGGAGGCAGAGGTCTACTTATAGGAGCCTGTGAAGAAATAGCGCTTAAATCTGGGGTCATCTCTTGATCACAGGCCTTTTCTAAAGAAATGAGCATTCTATCAAACACAAGTTCCTAAGCAAACTCAAGAGTGTCAACAAGAACAAACACTAGCAACAGAGGCAAGAGGCCTGCTGGGGAGACCATGAAGGAGCTGGCGTGCCAGACTCTCAGGAGGTCCCTTGCTAGCTGTATTAAGAAAGAGGTCTGCCTGGCTTAGGGTAGGACAAGGGACAAAGCCTGGCTCCAGGAAGGAATTCCACACCCAAGAACCAGAGTACAGCATGACTGGTGCTTCTGTGGCCTGTGAGGTGGGCTGAGGAACCCCAGTGGTGCTTTCACCTGGGTTCAGGACAGGCTGGACGATGTCGCCGTTCCTCCACTTGGTCTCCATGCGTTCCAGCTTCTGAGCTTCGTAGCGTTTCCGACCCTCCTCCTCCTGTTCCTGCCGTAAATACTGTGGGAAGGAAGCCAGACAGAGGGTCAGGTACAGTGAGACAGAGCTCTCGTCCACATCCTAGGTCCGGCCACAGCCTCCCTTCTAGCATCTTGTAAATGCCCCTCTCTTCTGATCACATGACCACCACATGACAAGAACACAGCATAGATCAAAGTTTCAGGGTGTGCCCCTCACCAGAGACAACCTGGTGGACAGATTTCTATTCCTCCAGACACATAACCCATCCTCTCACTGGGCAGGGGAGCTGAGACAAACCCTCATGCATTACTTGACTGCAGCACAGCCCATGTGACTGACCCTCTGCTATGACGGTGCCGCTCTGACAAGCCTCGGTCATCTCTGCACTTGGCTTCTGACCTTCCCCTCAACAGGAAGCTGCAGAGTCCCAGGACCACAGGCACAACCACCTCTGCGTCTTTGCAGAGCACCAGCCAGTCAACTTTGCACAGCCAGGCAGCCTGGCCTAAAACAGAGCCCAAGCTCTCCTGATCAAGCACAGGAGTTCTAGCCAAGGAAGAGTAAATATAAAACCTATTATACTGAACACCTTTAATCTCAACTCTCAAGAGACAGAGGCAGGGGTGTCTCTGAATTCAAGGCCAGCCTGGTCTACAAAGTGAGTTCCAGGACAGTCAAGGCTACACAGAAAAACTCTGTTTTGAAAACTCAAAATGAGAAAATACAAAAAAAAAAATCTATTATATAAGCTGAAAACTGTCAATCCTGGCCATGATGGGTACATACCCTGCCCCCTCACTTCCTGCCTGGGATCCTAGGAGGGGCTTACTGTCCTGAGTGCCAGCCTAAGGTATGATCTAAGTCTACTCCCTGCCCACCCCCAGAAGCCACCTGTCCCAAGCCAGCAGAGGCAGCCCCTCTCTCCTCAGACCAGCCCTCCTCACCCACTACTGCCTAGCCATTCTCCCGTAGTCAGTCTCCCCTGCTGCTGTCTCACTGAGCCTGCATTGCTGGCACAGTCCTCAGGCCCCTCCCTACCTGTCAAAGCCCCTCTGACCATAAATTCTCTTTGAATTTGACCAAGGCAAATTCAAATTTTAAGGCAGCTTTAGACTTCCTTTCTGATGCTGTGCTCTTGCTCCAGGCTTAGCTTCACAGAGGAGCAGGTCTGAGCACCATTCTGGGGATTAACTACCCATCCCTGTCAACTAGAGTACAGGAAGAAACAGAGAGGTGTGTTCAAAACAAACGAACCAAGTCCCAGTGCAAGGAGTGGCTGACCCTCCAGAAGGTTCTCAGCCTTCCTCTCTGCTAGCTGCCTAGCACCTGATGCCCAGGCTAGCGTTCCATGGCAAGAGCAGTATCTGAACTCGTCCTTGCTCTACCTCACACTGGGGGCCGAATTCCAACAGCCTCAAGACACACCCTGTGGGGACTTTAGCTTTTAGCTCAGTGGCACAACACTTGCCCAGTAGCACAAAGTGCTGGTTTCCACCCACAATGCTATAAAAGCAACAAGGCTGAGCACTGGCTGGAGGGCTGGCTCAGAGGATATGAGCACCAGCTGCTCTTGCGGGGGACCCAGCACCCACACACTGGCTCACAACCATCTGTAAGTCCAGTCTCAGGTGATCCCACACACTCTTCTAGCCTGTACAAAGCACTTCACACACAGGGAGCACAAACACACATTCAGGCAAACACTCATACACACAAAATAAAAAGAGAATCTCAAAAAAGACAAAAATTTAAGCCAAGCACAGTGGTATCACACCCGTAATCCTAGCTCATAGGAGACAAGACAGGACTACAGAACAAGGGTTTACCAAAAAAAAAAAAAAAAAAAAAAAAAAAAAAACCCAAGGCGGCAGAGAAACGGCTCACTAGGGACAGGCAGTTGCAGCCAAGCCCGATAACCTGAGTCTGATCGCTGGACCCATGCGGTAATAAGGAGAGGACTGACTCCTGCAGACTGTGCTCTGATCTTGCATACATGCTATGGCATGCATGCTCATACCTATACACATACAAAGTAATACACATAACTTAAAAGAAAACAGAGGAAAAATGTGCTGCTTAATAAAGGGCCAAGCTCTCCCAGCTAGGTCTAGCAATCCTTGATGGTGCCTGGAAGGCTTGTCTGAGCTATGCAGGTATGCATGGAGTCTGAGGGACTAGTTTTGAACCAAAGTCTCACAAACAGGCTCAGCTTCCTCACATGCTGGCAAACTGCTGGCATATTCTAATGTAAAGCTGGCAATTCACCCCACCCCAAAGGCCTATGAGACCCAGCTGATTCAAAGCAGCAGACAGCTCAGTCCAAATTCTCAGACCTGTGGGCCTTCTGAAGCAAGCACACTGAAAACACTCCAGAAAAGCCTCTGATACACCCACCATGCTGACTTCTTTTAATAATCATAGGAAAAACTGCACTCTGTCAGGCTGAGGGAAAAGGCAAAACAAAAGGGCAAGTCACACTCTAAAGTGACAGTGACCACAGTAAGCAGCCCTACTAACTGGTAACTAACCTGTGCACATGTGTACATGTGCGCATGTGTGCTCTGCTGAGCCCGTGCGTGCACACGTGCATGTGTACTGCACATAGCAGGACACTTTGTTGAATAAATGTTTCTATCTGTAAAAGGCTAGCAGAAGGATGCCCATGCTTTCAAGCACACACACTCCTATAGCAAAGGAGGAGCTCTGGACTTCCAGGTCAGGGAAGGTCTCTGCTGGCCCTGCCATGGCAAACAGGGGCCCACATTCCCAGTGAACTGACAGGTAGCACTGTGTGTACTTGGCATCTGTGATAAGGGGCATGGATCACACCAGCAGCTGTTACAGCTGGACTTCATGTGCTTTCCTTCCTCAGCCCCTCAGCCTCAGCGTGGCGGGTGCTTCAACACCTTCTATGAAGGCCATCGTGTGCTTGTGTGTCACCAACACAAAAAGCCAACAGAAAGGCTCCAGGACTCCTCAGCACATGCTGTGCACCCTTGACTGCACAAGAGTGGGCTAAGAGTGGGCAGCGTGCCCGTGCCATGCCTGAGGTCAGGACTTTCTGGATCATCATGAGGTTGGCCGGAGCCTGAGTGGCTCCAGACTTCAGGACAACTGAAAAGGCGTTGGGCAGCCTTGTGCCCAGGCTGGAAGTCTCTGAAGGGCCCACGGCCACCAGCTATAGACTCACAGGAACATCGACCGCTGCGTGGGGTGCCCTGTGAGCCCTGGATGAGAACTTCAAGGACACTGAGCGTGCACATGCGCTCTAGTGTTTTGTCATGCAGATAACTGTCATGCACTCTGAGCCCCGTCAGCACCCAAACAGCAAACAGGAGGAGTAGCATAGCCCAGGACAGGTCAGAGGGAAGGGGATGAGGGAGGATGGGTGCCAGCCTGAGGAGCCTGGCGTGAACAGGGTTCATCAAGAGAGAGGACCTTGGAACCTCAGAATGGGGACATTTCTGGAAGTGTATTTTGTAAATGCAGTGGCAAAACTGAGGTTGAATGGGGTTAATAGGCAAGGGATACCCTGAGTTCTACAATTGGTGTCTCTCTAAATCCATACAAAGGCACAGTCAAGGGAAGGTGGGTAAGACAAGCAAAACAGGAAGAGACTGGGTCTCTCTGTGTAGCTCTGCCTGTCCTATAACTCTATATGTAGACCAGGCTGGCTTCAAATCCACAAAGATCCTTTTGCCTCAGCCTCCCAGGTACTGAAATTAAAGGTATGCACTACCATGACTAGTCTTTAGTTTTTTAATTACCCAAAACTATTAACATTTTGTCACAGCAGTCTCAGGACACTAATACAGGCAGGACTGTGGACCACCTGCCTCAATACCTGGCCCTAGGCTGTGTCTGATTTGCTCACAGGTAGAGAGTTGCTTAACACACTGGTTCTTGTTTTGTTTTTGTTTTTTCGAGACAGGGTTTCTCTGTGCAGCCCTGGCTGTCCTGGAACTCACTCTATAGACCAGGCTGGCCTCGAACTCAGAAATCCTCCTACCTCTGCCTCCCAAGTGCTGGGATTAAAGGCGTGTGCCACCACCGCCCGGCAACACACTGGTTCTTAACTTTTATAATGCTGCAACCCATATATGTAATATAATATAATATAATATAATATAATATAATATAAATCATACAGCTTCTCATGTGTGGTGACCCTCAACTGTAAAATTATTTTGTTGCTACTTCAAAACTGAAATTTTGCTACTGTGATAAATCATAATGTAAACATCTGTGTTTTTGGTAGTCTTAGGCCAACCCTGTGAAAGGGTCATTCAATCCCCAAAGAGATCCAAAGGTGAAGAGGCACTGGTTTAGGATAACATGGTGACCAGCACCAGCTCAGCCCTCAGCCCTCAGCCCTCAGCCCTCAGCCCTCAGCCCTCAGCCCTCAGCCCTCAGCCCTCAGCCCTCAGCACAGCACAGCACAGCACAGCACAGCACAGCACAGCACAGCACAGCACAGCACAGCACAGCACAGCTGAGCTGCCCTTTATGAGAAATGGAGAAGGGTCTCTGTCTTCAAAGTATTCTTAAAAATACCAATTGAATGAATCTGAGGCTAGCCTGATCTACACAGCGAATTCCAGGCCTGTCAAAGGTACACAGAGAAACCCTGTCTTAAAAAACAAAATAAAACAAAAACAACAAACACACACACACACAGTGAAAGGACTGTAGCCAGCTCCAGCATGCAAACATGGCTCTGGCAGGCCTTCCCATCTTCCCTGCCCCTCTGCCTTGTTAAAAAACAATTATATTACATTCCTAAAGCTACCATCAAGGTCTGTTCCCAGTACTTGGAAGGTGTAGACAGGATGATCAGGAGTTCAAGTCATCCTGGGCCACATAACAATCTCTAGAGGTCATCCTGGACTGTGTGAGATCCTGCCTCAAGCTGTCCAGTCCAAAACATCCTAACTAACTAAAGAGTAATAATAAAAAATAAAGTAGTAGCTGGGTGTAGTGGTCCACACCTGTAACTCTAGCACACTGGGGGCGAGGGGCATGCCTAAACAGGAAGATGGTGAGTTCAAAGCCAGCTTGGGCTACACAGCAGGAGAAAGCATAAATCAAATCACAGATGTATCCAACCACACCCTGACCAGCTACCCAAGCCCGGCTCAGCACTGAGCATGACAAGAGAGATGACAGAAAGCCAGCTTTGGAGACATGAAGGCAACCAGCACACTTGGGAGGAGCTTGTCACAGATAAGGGAAGTCTCTAACAAGACATCCAAAGGTCTGCCTGTTGTGCAACAGTTTCCTCTAATACTGAAATATACCATCCTACAGAGATGTTCTTTAAACAAGAAGGAAGTCCCTGAAACTGACTAGATTTACTAGGCCCTCTTCCTGACAGACGAGCAATAAAACTAACCACCAAATGTCCCCCTCAGAAGAGCAGACCCAGAGAAGACTCTGAGACCAGACCAACTGCCAAGAAAATGGAAGTAAAGCTGAACTGCAAAGCAGACCCTCAGAGACCCTGACACCAGACAGACTACGTCAGTCACTTGGAAAAGACACTCCCCAGCCTGTTGAGAGCTGTGACCTACAGGCTGTGCAGTGTGCTCCAAGTTCCCAGCTTCTGTGAGCCATCACCCATGCTAGGATGGGCTTTGGTGATGCGGCTGTCTAAGTGATTTCTGTTTCTCTAAGTAACCCCAATAAGAGTCACTGATTTACCAAGTTGGACTTGGGTGGTATTCAAACTTTGGTCTGTCTTGGACCCCCTATCTGGGTCATGTATATGTTACACCTTCCCAACAAAAATTTTGTCACACAGCACTGCCCTAGACAGCCTGCTGGTAATAGGACCCACCCTAGAGAAAAACACCACAGATTCTTCTCATCCTACCAAGGTTCCGTTCACACTAGACAGACAGGAGGCAAATACCAGCAGAGGAGAAAGCAGGGCCAATAAGAGCAAGTCCTCACACAGGTGCACCAGCGGCTGAGGTGCAATACTGATCTCCGGGACTTTCGGGGTGGCTTGCCTCGTGCAGTCTCCTGGCTCTCCCAAGTCTGTCATCAGCTTTGCCTGCTCTACAAGTAGCAAAGGGGCGCCCTAGTGTGGGATATGGGCTGCTGAAAATCACCCCACGAGTTCCAGGCCCTGCAAGACGAGCGTATCCTCAGGGCCTGAGCTCAACGCGCCTTCAGCCATCCAGAGAGGCCCTGCCTGCCTGGGGCCTGAGCGCAGCAGTCTACCCGATGATCCTTTAGCTGCTCCTGTGGCTAAATGGGCCTCCCACAACTCAGAGGGACCTAGCTTCTGCATTTGCCCCAAGACACAAGTGAAGGGATCATCTTACCACAATAGGAGGCACCTCGAGGATCTTGTCCACATTCTTCAATGACAGGGGCACATACCACAAAGTGGCCTTATTGGTCAGCTTTTTGGTACCTTAAGAGAAGAAAAAAGAAAATCCCATGAGTGACACCTCTCTTTGGCTACACTGGCAGGTACTACAACCAGCCCTGAGCAGGCCGGGGCTGAAGCACTGTTACTTCTAGCCCCCAATCTCCAAGGTCCTGTCCAGCCTCCTGGCCTGAGGATGTCATCATCAGGGAAGCATGGGACCAGATTCCCATGTGTGCAGAGGAGCTGTGTGGGCCCAGGACAGCGCACCCCCATCCCAATACTCCATCTGTGGTAGCTTTCCCCTCACAGAGGCTATTGGGAAGGCTTCAGCGTACAGGTTCTGACTGACTCAGCTCTGAGGCTAGCTTCATAGAAATCAGGTGTGGCTATGAATCTGCTGGCAGAAGAAGGACCTGCTAGATGCAGAAGGGCTGATAAGGCCAGGCCAAGCCACTAGCCGGCCTAAATCCCTACCAGCAGCTACTGCCATTGCCTCATCAAGACTTGACACCCTCAGCTCAAACTAGAATGAATTTTCCAGATGACAAAATGCTGCAAGAATTCTTACAGGTAGGCAACCTGTGGGGCACACACAACCAAGATTCATGGACTGTGGAGACTGAAGATCAGAGGAAGCCTTGAAGTATCAGAACAGGCAACACCAGCCACCGCCCAAAGCACAGAGGCCTGGGTCAGCTCCTCAGGCCCAGTGTGGGCAGGCCAGTCACCTCTCCTCCTCTTCTCCCCCTCACAGTCCCATGAGGTAACATAAAAGCTCCAACCCAGAGTTTCTTCCATGTGGGCAATGGGCTCAGACTCACTTGCAGCACTGAGTCCAGACATGGAGCAGAATGAAGCTCCCAAGGCAGGAAGGCCTTTCTGGGTTGAGGGCTCATGGCTTCCGGTGTCACAGTCCATGGGCCCATGCCCCTGCTTATCCAAAAGAAGCCAGAATCCCAGAGAGGCCAAGAGCTTTGAAGCAACTTAGTGATGTCCTAAGTACATACTCAGGGCTCTCCAAGTTCCAGTCACTTCAGAAAATGTGTGAGTCCACCTTTAAAAGGCGGTTCTGACAACATCAAAGACTCCAGGGCAGAGGACAGCAAGAGGCAGGAGCAGCAGAGGTGGGCGCTGCCACCCTAGAGAAGCAAGCTTCCACCAGCTACCTCTGAGGCACCTTCCCAGTAGAGACCTAGGGCTTCCCTAAGGTTACAACAGGCACAGCCCCAGGCTCCCAGTCAAGCCCTCCCACAGGAGGGTATTAAAAGACAGCCTGCAGGGCTCTCCTATTCCAAAGTGGCAGTCCTCACAGTCCCACTCAGACACGTGACACCCCCAGGGCAAGGCTATGGGCTCCCACGCCCAAGAACCACAGGCAGACACTATGGGAAAACATTTCCCCATGCTTTGACTGAGTGAATCTGACAACCTGCTTTTGGGAATAAAGATTTCCTGTTGGACTCAGAGCCAGCATGAAGAGCTGGTTTCCATGGAAACCCAAGTGGCCTGCTAAACCTAAATGAGCAGCACTGAGCAAGCAAAGCGAGGCAAACCACTAATTGTGTAATCTCCACCCTTCAGTGGGACTATTGCTGGGACTGGTGCATCACAATCATCTTCAGACCTCACTAGCCCCCGCTATGTCCCAGAGCAGCACACAGCGATGATGTCCGGAAGTTCAATACTCTGATGTATGAGAGATGCATGAGCAGAGGTTTAAGGGTGGTGGGCCAGCTTTGTGCTCACAGCTGACTCTGGATTGTAGCTCAGCCCAGATACAGAGTGCTCCTGAGTGAGGTCACACTAAAATCAAGTTCAGCCTTCTCACGGGCTGCAGCCCTGGGTGTGCACCTAGCTCCCCTCGCCTCGGAGTCCCAGAACTCATCCGTTCAGACAGGGCACGTGGTCAGCATGGTGTTGGTTCAGATGGCCGGAAGTTCACCTTCCAGTGGGCATATGGACCAGGAAATGGTAGGGAGAACCCTAGAGTACCACAGCCCAGTCTACAACAATGGATTCTGGGGTCAGACAACTAAGACAATGGAAAGATTCTAAGCCCTTCCTGTTCTGAGACCAGACTATCCCCATCTGTGGTACAGGAAGAAGCAGGAGGCTCTGAGGTAACGGCCAGGCCCCACTGAGAAAAGCTGCAAAGCCCTGCCTCCCCTGAACACTAAGCATGAAAAGTACCCATCCTTGTCCCGACAGTGCCAGCACTGCCTCTGCCCTTCAAGCCTGCTCCCTCCACCTCCCTGGCAGTGCTCCCTCCACCTCCCTGGCATTGCTCCCTCCACCTCCCTGTCAGTGCTCCCTCCACCTCCCTGGCAGTGCTCCCTCCACCTCCTTGGCAGTGCTCCCTCCACCTCCTTGGCAGTGCTCCCTGTGTTCGCCCTCAGGGCAGAAAGGAACTCTAGGGAATGAGTCACTTTGGAGTGAGGGCAAAAGGCTAGGCTGCTGCTTGAGGTGTTTCTTTTAAAACTTATTTTTCTTACTTAAAACAATTTATTGTTATGTGTATTAGTATTTTGCCTGCACGGATGTCTGTGCAACACATGCATTTTTGGTGTTCACAAAGGCTAGAGGAAGACATCAAATCCCCTACAACTGGAGTTAGAGGTGGTAGTGAGCCTACATGTAGGTGCTAGGATTTGAACCCAGGTTCTGTGGAAAAGCAGCCAGTGCTCTCAACTACTAAACTATCTCCGCAGCCATTTTCCCCCTTTGTAGCCCTAACAAGAAGCCACAAACTCATTCTCTAGACCAGGTTGGCCTCACACTCACAGATCCACCTGCTCCTGCCTCCTGAGAGCCAGGATCCAAGGTGCGGCCCTTACTTTTTACTTCCGTGTGTGCATGTGTGTCTATGTGCCGAAAGCTCAGCTGTTGAGAACATTTTCTGCTCTTCCAGAGGACCCAAGAATAGTCCCCAGGACCCACATCAGGCAGCTCCCAACCATCTAGAATTCTAGCTCTAGAGACTCTGGTATTTTCTTCTGGCCTCTGAGTAAGGCTTTCTTCAGACAGTATGTGGTTTGGTTAAACCCTCTAAGGGTGTTTGTCCTACAGCCTGGAACCCAAGCTCTTCCAGATAGCCAAGTCATTCTCTCATTGGCTACCCAGCTGTCCACAGATCAGTGACGAGAGATACCAGGAGGTCTATGCCCTATGGCAGGCTCACCACCTGTGGGCTGGGCTGCTCTGCTGTGAGGATACAAGATCCTCACAATTCTAAAAACTCTACAACACCTTCTTGCACTGCCCCTCTCCTGACTCACACCAGCAGTGCCCTCTGGTCCTCGGGCTCCTGGGGGCTAAGGCTTTGGTTGTTACAGATTAGGCAGAAATGTGCTTTCTTTTAATTTAATTTATTGCATGTGTATGATATATATGTCTGTATGTGTGGGACTGCATAAGGGTATCCTGGGTCATGGTGGAGCAGGCGCCTAGAACCCCGAGTTTCTCCGTGGAATTCTGCGCGAGAACCGGCAGGAGTTCGGTCCCTCCCATCATCCAGGATCCTAAAAAGCAGTCACATCTCCATAGAGTCACATAGGCCAGGCTATAGGCCTCAGGCCCTAGGGATTTACATACTAATGAAGGCCAGAGGGCAGAGCAAATTAAACATGCCTCCCCCAAATCCTCCCCCAATCCTCCCCCTTTCTCCCTCCCTATATAACTCGGGACTGCCCTGAGTTTTTGGGGGGTATGCCTAGATCCATCTATTATCCGCCATGACAATAAACCTTTTTGGAACCAAGGACTTCCTCGTGTTACTGGGGCCTGCCGCTGCCAAGGCCCTCAGGCCGCTGGAACCATAGGACCTCTTCCCTAATGTGGGACCCGCCACGCGGTGGAAGCCCCTCTGGGGCTTGCGCCACTGTGGCGGCCTTTTTAAATTTTCCCCACATGTATGTATACCATGCATACATCTGGTGCCCAGAAGAGGGCATCAGAAAGCCTGGAACTAGAGTTACAGACAAATGTGAGCCACCATGTGCATTCTAGGAATCAAACCCAGGTCCTCTGTTAAGAGTAGCCAGTGCTTTTAAGCACTGAGCCATCTATATACCCTTAGGAATCCATTCTTTTTGTTGTTTTTGTTGTTGTTGTTTTGTTTTGTTTTGTTTTTTTCGAGGCAGGGTTTCTCTGTGTAGTCCTGGCTGTCCTGGAACTCATTCTGTAGACCAGGCTGGGGGAATCCATTCTTAAGGCAGGCCCTGTACAGTTTCTGACTCAGAGGGCTCACACAGTGAAAAGATCTACTGGCTTGTTTCAAACAAGCATGAAGATCAAGGACCATGGGGTGCTCAGGGGAGATAGCCAGACCCAGCAGAGGAAGGCCCATAAGACAGACAGCACTGGCCTCTCTTCCCCTCAGGACACTCTAATGCCAAAGGGCCTGAGGAGCAAGAACAGAGGCCCCACAGTCTCCCGGTACACAGTGGCTGGGCTCACACACTCCCAGTACACAGTGGCTGGGCTCATACAGCCCACCTGAATCCATCCCTGATGAAGTCACTGGAATGTTCCAGATGGGGAGCTGTATGCTTAGGAAGACCTGAGCCCCTTAGTCAGCCCTCAGCCATCATCACCCCACGAGGTCACCACTGCAGAGGACCTGGGAAAGGAGGAAAGAAGGAAGCAGCCCAGCCGCCAAGGCACATGGGACCACAGGCAGAGTCGGGTGAAAGGGCCTGTCCTCCCAGCCAACAGCAGGTTATAAAAGAAACATAAGCACTTCATGACAAGGAGCTCCATGCTCCTGTAGCGCCAATGGGGAAGAAGAGAATGGTTTCCATGGTTACATAGCCAAGGAAAAGATTCAGATGAACCAAAGGCTCACCCAACCTGGTTTCTAGATGGGCAGGGGCAGATTTGTCCAGAAGCCTCTGCAAAGTTATACAAGCCATGGTCTAGAACAGCAGATGGATGCAGAGGCAGGAATGGCAGCTACGGACTAAGTGGTCTCAAGAAGGAGAGGGGGCAGGCTGGGAATCCTGTTCTGGCTGGAGAGGGCTCAGGTGTGCTTTGTAACCCACTGGTGCTCCATCTGCAAACTGTTAAAACACAGGTAGTGAAGACTCTGCCCCAGGGTGCATGAGGACCAAAGTGGTCATACAGAGAGGAAGCCAGCCCCGGGGCATGGCCAGCTTTCCACACTGAACAAGCTGCGTGCTACAATTGCCTTCAGCTGCCAATTTGATGCAAACCTAGAGTCACCTGGGAAGAGGAAAACCTCAACTAAAGAACTGTCACGATCAGACTGGCCTGTGACCATGTCTTGGAGACATTTCTTAACAGCTGACTGATGCAGGAGGTACCATCCCTAGGCAGTTGGCCTGGGCTGTGTAAGACAGGCAGCTGAGCACGATGAGGTAGGAGCCTGTAAACAGCGTTCCTCAGCCATCTCAGCTTCAGTGTGGCTTCCCCAGTGATGGCTGTGCTTCTAACCCAAAACAAAGCCTTTCTTCCCCAAGTTAGTTTTGGTTCATGTTTCACCACAGCAACAAAAAGTCAACCAGAGCACTGTACTGTGGTCCTTACTCAGTGCTGCTGTACTGTGGTCCTTACTC